GAGCCGGTGAGATTTGAACCGCTGACCTGCTGATCTAGCAGTAGCCTGCAGTGCTGCATTTAACCACTGCGCCACCTCCAAGTGGCCTCAACGCCCCTCTAAAAGGATGCAAATGACCAGCTGTCTGCAAGGAGGATCAATCTTTCCCTTCCCCACCATCCAGAGCAGAAGAAGCTTCTTGGAGGAGAAGTGAAAGGTCTTCCGAGAAAAAACAAGGAAGTCCAGTTGCCCCTTGAAAAAAGCACCTTTGGGGCATAAAATCAGGCGCAACCGATTGTCTTGCTTAATGATGAAAATTCTAGTTCCAGCTGTAAATGGAGGATTGCCGGTCATTCTTAAGACAAGGGGACAAAGTCACCTGGGACTTCGCCACGAGCACAACAACAGTTCTCGGGCAACCCAGGTCCGAGATGGCGAACCCATGGCACGGTGGCAGAGGTGGCACGCCGAGCCTTCTCTGTGGGCGGGCACCCTGCTGCCAGCTGCTCCTCTGGCTTCTGTTGGGCCAGCCAACTGGTCTTCACAGGTGCTGGAACACCTGAAAACGGCCAAACAAGGGGCCATTTTTCAGGTTGTTTTTTTCAGGCCAATTATGGGGCCATTTTCAGTCCATTTTCAGACTGTTTTTGGACCCAAAACAGCTTGAAAATGACCAGAAAACAGCTGAAAAAGGGCCATTTTGGGGCTGTTTTCAGGTTATTTGGGGAGGCATTTTCAGTTCATTTTTCGGGCCATTTTAGGCCATTTTTCAGGCTAATTTTGCCCCAAAACACAGCTCAAAATTGTCCAAAAAACAGCCAGAAAATGGCCAAAGAAAAGGGCAATTTTTCGGGCGGTTTTCAGGTTGTTTTTTCATGCAGTTTTGGGGCCATTTTTAGTCCATTTTCTGTGCCATTTTCAGGCTGTTTTTGGCCCCAAAACAGCTTGAAAATGACCCAAAACAGCCACAAAACGGCCAAAAAAGGGACCATTTTTCGGGCTGTTTTCAGGTTGTTTTTACAGACAGTTTTTGGGGCATTTTGGGCCATTTTCAGTTCATTTTAGGCCATTTTCCAGGCTAATTTTGCCCCCAAACACAGCTCAAAAGTGTCCCCAAAACAGCCAGAAACTGACCAAAAAAGGGCCATTTTTCGGGTGGTTTTCAGGTTGTTTTTTCAAGCAGTTTTGGGACCATTTTTCAGGCTATTTTCGCCCCAAAACACAGCTCAAAATTGACCGAAAAACAGCCCCAAAACGGCCAAACAGTGGGCCATTTTTCGGGCTGTTTCCAGGTTGTTTTTTCAGGCAGTTTTGGGGGCATTTTGGGACGTTTTCCAGGCTATTTGTGGCCCCCAAAACAGCTAGGGAATGATCGAAAAACGACCTGAAAAACGGCCCCCAAATGCCCCCCAAATAGGCATGCGGGTACCAGCCAGCTGATCTTTTGAGTTTCCAGTGCTCAGATGAGCACAAAGACCAGCTGGCCGGCATGAGAAGGCACACCGGGCAGCTGGTTTATGGGTTTCTGGGCGCATTCACATCTGGCCTGGTTTGGGTTCTCGTTGCCGAAATGATTCTCCGCCCCCGATCCAGGTTGTCTGAATTCACCCTGGACCCCTTCCTCTTCCTCCCCCGCAGGTGTGCGTCCTTATAAGTGTCAGCTGTGCGACAAAGCTTTCACCCAGCGTTGTTCCCTGGAGTCCCACCTGAAAAAAATCCACGGGGTACAGCAGAGTTACGCCTACAAGGAGCGGCGGGCTAAACTCTACGTCTGCGAGGACTGCGGATCGACGGCCGACAGCCAAGAAGGACACCTCCGACACCTCCAGGAGCAGCACCCCGACAGCCCGCTACTCCGGAAAGCCTCGCGCAAAGCGGCTACGGGCCTTCACAGCCTCATGGGCACCCCGAGTATCCTGCAGGGCTCTGGCCCTTGTTCCTAAAACATCCTGGCCTTTTTTGGGACACACACACACACACACCGATGCGCCTTTGAACTTGGGAACTGGCCACTGGACCCAGCCACCACATCCGGTAGTTCGAATCCGGCGTGGGAAGAAGTTCTCCATGAATCTTCCATGACGCGGCGGGGAAAAAATGGTGTTTTTTTTGGATCAGACTTCCGGATAGGATGAATGGTGGCTTTGAATGTTACAAAGAGCTCAATTGGGCTGCGTGGCAGGCCAAGGCTTGGAGGGTTGGGGCGGGGTGATTCTCAGAGGTCATCTAGTCTGACCCCCCCCCCCTTGGCCTAGGTAGGAAACGTGTTATCGGATGCAACTTAAGTCCCTTGCATTGGAGCTGCCTTAAAATCCTCGCTGGGGTGGTTACACACAATCGTGTCTCCGGCGCCTGGACATGGAATCGTCGGTTAAGTGTTCTTTGAATCCGCCGCCTAGTTTCTCGCACCCGAGTCCGAGGAGTTTGACGAAATGGCGTGAAGATTTGGGGAGACCCCTCAAGACGAAATCCCTTTGGAAAGTTCAAAAATGATTTGGCAAATTGATCCCGTCACCGCTGGGTTGTGTTCAAAGCGGAGGCTTTGGGTTCAAGAAGTGCTGGGATAGATTTCCTCCTTTGATTAAGGAGGGGGGTTGGACTAGATGACCTCATCACATGCCTTCGAGCTGTGTTAACTACTTTTTCTGCCTCAGGGCCGGATCGTACTAGTCTGACCTTGGAAATTAAGTGCCTGGACTTGTCAGCTCTCAGGGCAGATTTTGAACTGGGGATCCGTTTTTTTAAAACGGGAATAATCTTGGGATTCAATTGGGGTGACTGGATGAGGTTGTGCAAGCTTCCATGATACACCCCGTCTTTTTTCTCCCCAGAATTCAAACATTCTGGAATCTGGTGAGTTCTTTTGTGTGTGTGTGTGTGTATGTATGTGTGATCCTTTTTAAACTGATGCAGAAAAATATATTATTTATCCAGAGTCGAGCAGCCACCGATTTTGAGCTTTAGGGAAACATTTTTTTAAAAAATGATATAAAATACAGAAATGGATTGCTGATATAGGACTACATCATCAGCCTCGCCTCTTTGAAACGGGGCAGGGTGGGGAAAAAAATGAATTATCATGCAAGTTACAACGGTTTCCGAAGACTGTCGTAAGGGGTTTTATTATGTTTATTTAATACGATGAATGTGTGAAGACGGGGTCTCTCTACCACGAGACACCGAAGCTAATGTTTTTTTGGCATGGGAAAAGAGGCATTAAGCCAAACACCAGGGTGTGGATCTTGTTTACATGATCGGCCGTGCTTTCTCTTTTGACTTTGGGGGAAAACGAGCTCGGCCTGTGAACTTTTAACGTTATTATGTTATCCGTAATCTATTCTTCTTCTTCCTCTCTTTACCTGTTATTAATTAAAATAAAGGAACTGGAGGCTCTCTGCAAGCCAGACAAAGTTTGCATGTTATTTGGGGAATGCCAAAGGTGTGTCTCGAATGGGACCTAAAGGTAGAGCAGAACAGAGTGGGAAGGGACATCAGAGGTCTTCTAGTCCATCCCCTTGCTCAAGCCGGAGACCCTATCCCATTTCAGTCATGTCAATCAATGAGAATAGAGCTGGAAGGGACCTTGGAGGTCTTCTAGTCCAGTGTTTTTCAACCACTGTGCCGCGGCACACTAGGGTGCCGTGACATAGTGTAAGGTGTGCCGTGGGAAAATTACTTTATGTATACCGGTAGTCAATATAGGCACAGAGTTAATTTTTTTTAACATTTTCTAATGGTGGTGTGCCTCGTGATTTTTTTCATGA